GGGAATGGCAAAATGCACGAGATATAAACTGTTTGATTTCGAGTTTTACGTGTTGGTGATATCTGTGCCTGACTGTTCCACAGCACTTTAGAGACAATTTACACACAAGGTCAAGTAAAAATAAACATTCTTAAAAATCTTGAAATCACTGGAAAAAAGGTACACAGGAATTTCGTATGTTTGTTTGAGTAAAAATGGTGAAATGGTATGAGTTTAACGTCCCTATCAACACTATTACTATTAGGTTATTTAAAAGGGGGGACCTCCTAATTTAACGTCCGTCTCCGATAGGACCGAGCCAAGTGGGAAGTTCGTGTAACAGTAAAGTGCCTTTCCCAAGGACACAACGTCGGACTGAGCTTAGGCTCGAACCCCCGAACCCGCAATCTCACGATTACGAGTCCAGTAGCCTAACCACTAGACTACCGACGCCACTTGTTTGAGTAAGAGAAGCACATTGACACAATAATGGTCATTTAGAGCTGGGAAAAAAAAAGACAGACAGACAGAAACAACAGAGGGAAAGTAGAGAAGTAGGACCAACCAGTGGTTTGTTCGTTTGAATAAGAAAAGCACATCGACACAATGATGGTCATTTAGTGCTGAGAAAAAGTAAAATAGACAGACAGAAACAGAGGGAAAGTAGAGATGTAGGACCTACCAGTGGGCCCTCCCAGGATGGCAAGGAAAAGCCTATCTGACCTATTTTGTTTGTTTGCAATTTTTGATTGATTGAGTAGGTGTTTTACGGCACTATTGACTCAATTTTGGTCACTGTTTGTCTGCTTTGGCAAAATTTTTACGGTGGTGCTTGCAATGAGTGTGTAAATATTTTGCCATCTCATATGATATTTCGTATCATATTCATTGTCAGCTTTACTTTTATCTCCAAAATGAAATTCTTGGGTGGAATGGTATAGATGTGTGTAAATGTATTGCCATCTCATATAATATTTTGTATGATTGTCATTGAGAGGGAGGGATACATCCCAGCAGAAAGACAGAAGAGATAGGCTACTCCATGAAAAGTAAGACAGACAGAAACAGAGGGAAAGTAAAGATGTAGGACCTACCAGCGGTGCCCTCCAACCACCCACCCACGCACAGGTTGGCAAGGAAAAGCCTATAATCTATTTTGTTTGTTTGTTTGTTTGCTTTGGCAAAAGTTTTACGTCGGTGCTCGCAACGAGTCTACCTTTGGCCGACATAGAAAAGCAGTGTAAACCTTCAAGCCAACATAGCATTTTTTTTAGGATCACGTAGCAGCAGATACATAGATCTATTATAACATACCATAAAGAACCACTACAAAGAAAAGGCAACAGAATTCCTTACCATCTGCCATAAGGCAGCTGTCAAAACAAACTTTAACTTAAAGTTCATTTTAAGGAATGTGTGTAAATATTTTGCCATCTCATATGACATTTCGTAATCATATTCATTGTCAGCTTTACTTTTATCTCCAAAATGAAATTCTTGGGTGAAATGGTATAGATGTGTGTAAATGTATTGCCATCTCATATGATATTTTGTATCATTGTCATTGAGAGGGAGGGATACAACATCCCAGCAGAAAGACAGAAGAGATACTCCATAAAAAGTATGACAGACAGACAGAAACAGAGGGAAAGTAAAGACGTAGGACCTACCAGTGGCGCCCTCCACCAACCACCCACCTATTCACGGGTTGGCAAGGAAAAGCCTATCTATTTTGTTTGTTTGTTTGTTTGTTTGTTTGTTTGCTTTGGTAAAAGTTTTACGTCGGTGCTCGCAACGAGTCTACCTTTGGCCGACATAGAAAAGCAGTGTAAACCTTCAAGCCAACCTGGCATTTTTTTAGGATCACGTAGCAGCAGATACATAGATAGAATCTATACTATATATACCATAAAGAACCACTAAAAAGAAGCTGCAACAGAAATTTCCAACCATCTGCCATAAGGTAGCTGTCAAAACCATTTTTAGGCTCACTAATGTGTGTAATTTGGAAAATATTTTAAAAATCTATGCACATAGTATAGTACATTTTACAAGTAACAAATATATCTCAGCTCTGTATAACTTTCAAAATCTGTGAAAAATTCCTGCATGTGGTTTGAGAGTTGCATCTTATGTTTGTAGTATAACTTAAATTCTATGTGAAATTGTGAAGTGGTATAGATTTAACGCCCCTTTCAACACTAATAGTAATACAGGACCTCCGAGTTTAACGTCCAACTCCGAAAGGACAGAGCCAATTAGGAAATTCGTGTACAGCCCTTTTCCCAAAGACACAACGTTGGACCGAGCTGAGGCACGAACCCCCGAACCTCACAATTACGAGTCTGGTAGCCTAACCACTAGGCCACTGACACCACGAAATTCTATATATACATTTATCTACATGATGTGTTTTTACCATTACTGTACCGCCACAGGAAAGTTCCCACAGAGACAGTAAAGTCTCATTATGTTATCTCTTAATGTATCTCTCATTTTCTGATATTCTGATGGAGCATGCCAGTTTTTTTTTTTTTTAACATCTGCAATCAGAAAATGACAAGAACCGTTGTAGGTTTTTGCCCATGAAGAAGAGAGTTTATTCAGTTTAAATGTAAGTGTTTTTACAAACACCCCATCAACACAACTTTGATCAATTAGGAGGCCGGCTTCTTATCTTGCCTGTCAAGGCCAACCCTTGTAGAGGAGGGCTACAACATCCCAGCAGAAAGACAGCAGGTCTATACTCCCTGAAAAATGTTCTACCCACTCGGGCATCGAACTGGGGTCTCTTGTGGGCGAGAGTGAAGCGTCTAACCGCTGCACCCCGGATGCCAGTTTCCTCAAAAGGACAGACAGTCTCAGTGTGTGTATCAGATAAGTGGCCACAAAATGACTTTGGGCAACATGAGACTATAGAAGACACAATCAATGGAGACCACCGACCAATATCACCAAATAATGGTGAATTCATAGACTGACACTATTTTTCTCATATATATAAATTAAAAAAAAACCCAACTTACATGCATTTTGTAATACTATGTTCTACGTACACACACATCCATTAATTTTTAAGGTGTGACACATGTATTTTTATTAATGTAATGCGCATTGATCCTTTTTTAGAAAATGGAAATATGCAGCATAAATGCTATTTGTTAATATTATTATTATGTAAAAAGTAAAGTGTTTTACGACGCTCGCAACTGCATAGGTCATATGAGCGCGCGGGACACTCCTAATATTTTCAGTTGGTAGGAAATTTTGAATTTTGCCCGGGTGGCGGCC